GTCTATGACCCTCACAACTATAAAGCAATTTATTCTATTCTATTCTATTTTATTCTATTCTAACCATCTTAATCCTTTTCTCTCCCAAGTGCAATGTGACCATGACCAATGGTAAGTTTTCTCACTGCTTCAGAAATATCAGTTAGAAAATACTTCAGAATTTATTGTTGATAATAACCTCTACTTAAACTGATTATTTTTCACAGAAACAGATATCTGTGCTGGAGTGAACAGGTGGGATTTTTCAAACACTTTTTCAACACATTGTGCCAAATGCAGCGTCAACAAAATGCTTATTGTCTGTTTCATTTTCAAACGGCAGCACCAAGCTTCAGCTCCTCCTCGACAGCGGAAACACGAACGGACGTGTCTGTGAATTTTCTGTTGAGGAATTTGCTTGTGCTTCGGTAAGACACCAAAACGTCTCAGATCAACAAAACCACTGCTGTTAACAATAGTTTCAGGTTGATCTTGAGTTTTGGTGTTTTACCTGTTCTTGTTCATTACACAGCTGCCCGCGCTGACAGCAAGGGATCTGGCAGAGATGCTGAAATGTGATCGCTCCTTCAACTCCAGTGGCTCCAGACCCGTCTGGAAGCTTCTCCTGTCCAAAGCCTCACTGGTTCTGGATGGAGCTCTGGATCTTCTCACCAACGCGGTATGAAGACATTTTAGAAATTCAGTGTTTTGGCTTTGCTGTCTCCCACAAACTGATCTGTGATCACTGTCAGATCTTTGTTTTTTGTTTTTTTGTTTTTACAGTGTAGATACAGAAAAGAAATGAAGAGTTCATTTGCAAAAACATCTAAAACTTAATTTTTTGTTGTTTGCTTGAGATAATGTCAAACTGTCAAACTGAAGTTGAGTAGATTTGACTCAGTAGAAAGGACAAAAACAGAGATAACTTAAGTTTGATTGATATTGTCTCAGGTAGACGATGGAAAAATGGGTTTTCTGAAAGTTTGTGAAGATGGAGGTATCTGTTTTTGCAAATTAACTCTTCAAATACTTATTGTAATGTTGTCCCGATTGCTTTTTTAAAGACATATTTTTATAACATTTTTAATGCCTGCGTATACACTGTATTTTTATTTTCTTTCCACGTTATGATTATTTATCTGCATATTTGTGTCTCCTCTTTTCTAAAAACTCTTTACAACCACATCTCGTTCTGTGCTGTAGACTTTCAACCCGAGGGATCCTGCAGTGTCGATGGTTCTGAACGCCATACGAGAAATCCGATTTGACAACATCAGCGTGTCCAGCATCAATGATCCTGCCGTCATCCAGCTGTGGTTTAACCGCCGCCTGCGCCCCTTCCTGTCTGCTGTCTCCCCTGACTTCCTCTCATGTGTCATCACAAAGGGCTTGAACTGCAGCACCTACCAGCGCATGTGAGTAGTGAAACGTTTATCATTTAGAATTACTACAAGGCTGCTGTGGATTCAGTAAAGATCTCCCTCCCCTTTGTGTTATACCAAAATATTGTCATATTCTGCATTAATCGTGTGATCCTTTTGACTCCTTTCTTAACTCAGTGTGCAGGTTTTGAGCCGTCTCCAGCCAAACATGACGCTCGCCACCCAGATGACTGTCTACACACACTTCATCAAGGTTTTCCTGACCAGGAACGACACTGCAGGTAGGCTCCCGTTAAAAATATATGATGGTCCAAGGGGCTTTACTTTTCACGGTACACACAAAACAAAATTGTTGGCTGGATGAAAAGTGGGAAGACAACTTTATATACACACTACATGGAGGTGCAAGGCAGCTGAAATGACTGAACTTACTTCAAGAGGCAACCTCAGAGCTTTCAGTCCTGATTGATTTGACAAATTAAACCATTTTCATTTTAATAAAGGAATCAAGCAGTAATTTACCTTTTTCCATGGACAGCCGTGATTTGATCTCATGCAGTAGTCTGTAAAGAGCAGGGCACAGTGAAAGTAAAAGGTGGTTACCTGAGAAGCTGGCAGCGCTTCATCTGACAGATCACCATGGCCGCCCTTTCTGGTTTCATTTCTGTGAATGCTAAGATCTCTGACAAACACAATGCATTTTCCAATAGACCAATTTTTTGCTAGATTTTTAATAGACCATTTTTCTGGTATCATCACCACAGACATCCAGTTCATAATGCTGCAGATAAAAATTAAAAAATACAAAATTCAATGATAGTCACTGAATAATCATTTCAATTATAATTTTTAAGACTGCCACTTTGATGCCTGTACACTGACTACAAACATAACTTTACAGCTTTTGATTTCAGATTACTTTTTCTTAGGGCCTTCGAAGGTTGTGTCATTTTTAACTCTGCTGTTAGTTGTGTTGATGCACGATCCAGGATGCTTACATGTACAGCTATCATATCACAAGCCATCAAATCAAAACATGTCACAAAGCTTGTCCCTCTAGTCACCAAACACTTTGCCTACTTTGCACAATGAATAGAGGAATGATCTAAATGGACTTGTGTTCAAAAAAATTAATTTGTTTAGTTTAATTAGATTTCATTAAACCATGCTGTGTTTCCTATAATGCCAACATAGGAATGTTTAGCATGTTTGCATTCGGATCGTTTGTCAGTTTAGGTTATGCAAAAAGTCTGTGGATCTCAGTACAACTTATAAATATATGCACCAAACAGACAAGTCATCAAAAAACCATGGAGATGTTTCAGTCTGGATCAAAGTGTCGTTAAAGCCACAAAAAACAAACGTGTACACAATAATCCTAACAATTTTCCATGATTTAAATCTTCTCTTGATATACAAACAACAGTATAAATCATTTAAAACATATTTAAGTCACACATTTTCTTGTACTTGATGCATTTATGTCATACACAGTGGTTACCGGATTTTCTCTCAGAGGAGCAAAGCTGAATCCTGTGTGTTCTTGTGTTTAGACCCAGCCTGCAGTTCAAACATAAACAGCAGTGGACAGTGGGTGCAGAAGAACCTGGGAGGTTTCTCTGCCATCGCGCCCTTTGGAGACCTTCGCATGCTCTACCCCGGATTTTCACCGGTCGGTTATGTTGCATTGTCTTCTATGTTTGTTTATTTGCGGTTTGTTGCCTCTGCAGTGACCATCGGTTTTGCTGTAAATTTACGTGTGTGTCTGTGTGTGTATTCATGCAGATGGAAGCACTGTCGCAGCTGTCACCCAGACAGCTAGCAGAGCTGGCCTCCACACCTGGCCAGCTCACCTCCGCTGAACAGGTCAACATGGTGATGAAACACGTCCCCAACAACCTCCTCGCGGCATTTTTTGATGATTACTCACCTGCTATCGTGGTAAGCATACGTCAACCCTGCAAACTTCCTGCAAACACAAACTCTCAAACAACCTGCTGTGTTTTGTAAAATATAATTTAGTTGGCATAAATTAAGCTGAACAATATTTATCTTCTCATCTGAAGCAGATAATTAACACATTTTGTAACACAATTTAATATTTTTCTGATTGGTCGAAAAAGGTATTATTGAACCTGCTCCAAACAATCTGCTTCTAACAAGTACTTTTATGTCATCTTTTTTTCCTGCAGGGTCATGAAAACTTGTTCCCCCCTCCAGTGAGGTCAGCCATGTTACAAGTTGTGTTCAACCGTGCAAACCTCTCCGATCACTCAGCAGTGAGTGATTCAGCGTTGCTGATTTGGCTCAACAAGCGGCTACAACCGCTGTTGTTCAACCTGTCGCCGAATCATGTCACACTGTTCTTCGGAATACTGGCCGGAAGGAACTGCAGTACTGAGCAACAGGGGTGAGTGCACAGTTATAGAGTGTGTATGAAAGATAGATGCCTCCGGATGTAAAAAGTGAAGCCAATTTGGTCATGCCTTCAACCTGCGTGCTGTCTCTGGTTGCTAAAAAATGTCAAACTATATAGAAGATACTGAGAAAATGACCCTACTTCTCATTTGATTTGTTACTCAGCAAACATTTTCCTTATTGGTTTATGGTCTCAGTCACTAGTTTCAAGTTTCCTTTAATACAGCAGGATGTTTATGTTGTAAATTATGGTTCCATTTAGATGAAAGTAGAATAGATGATAAAGCAGGGTATGTTTTAGTGCAGCCCTTGAGTTCAGATACAGCCCTCAGACATCATGTCCAGTCTTAAACACGATGATGGCCCAAACCCAAGGCTTCAAAAATGGTAACTCACAAACCAGTGGATGTTTTAGATAGTCTGTGGTTTAAAGACACTTACACTTAATTAATGGCTGATTTCATGAATCAATTATTTGAATCATTTCTGAGGATCCTTTCTGTTTTTATCTGTTTCAGTGTAGAGAACCTGAATCTGACGATCCCAACACTCAGCGAAAACACACAGACAGAAGTCTACAATCACATCATAGAGACTCTCAGAGGTAAAGAAACTACACTGACAGAAAACTAGACAAGCGGCCTTACAATGTTGAAGCTGCTTGCTGGATGATTGTTGGCATCAGAAGTAATACTGAGTCGTTTTCTTTTTTTAAAAAAATGTTAATCAAATTCTCAGGCAAAAACACAAACACAAACGATAAACTAAACTAAGTGACAGTTATCCGTTTGTGAAGTAAACAAACCAAATGGATAATGAGAGTGTCACATTCATCTTTCAATTGATTCACTTTGATGGCCTGCATTAAACAAAGTAAAAATAACAATTCTGTTCTTGATTTGTCAGACAGTTAGAAAATGTCGTCAGGTACTGAATGACTGCATGATTTGGAAACCTTTCTGTGCCATCAAAGTCAAAATTATCGCAGTTGGTTTAGACTGCAAGCAAAACCATCGGTCAGAAAGATTATTTTAACCTTTAGTCCAGAAATCTCCAGCTCTGGTCCTCGTGAGCTTCTGTCCTGCAGGTTTTAGATGTTTCCGTACTGCAACACACCTGACTCAGATTAATGAATCATAAACAGACTTGTGTAGAACTTGACAACAAACTGTTGGAGATCCATTCATTTGAGTCAGGTGTGTTGCAGTACAGAAACATCTAAAACCTGCAGGACAGTAGCTCATGAGGACCGGAGTTGGAGATCCCTGCTTTAGTCTCTCTTTGACGGGTTTGGACTTTCACAGGTAAAGACAATCCTCTGTGATCCACTCCAGTTCTGTACTCTAAGTATGAGCTGTTTCCTTCAGATGGTATAGAGTTCAATAAGCCTCTGTGCCTGTTCAGCTGGAATTTAGCCTAAATGTAGACTTAGATAGGTCAAGGCTACAGAAGTCGTCAAAAAGCCACAAACTGATTGATGCCTCAGGATGAGCATTTGTTTACTTTTCTTCTTTACATATGAACAACAAGATACAACACAATGAAAATATGCACTGGTAAAATAAACCTGCATCTTCCTACTTCTGTGACGGCCGGCTCTTATCTCTGCCTCTTAGTGCAGTTCGTTTTTGAGCACTTTTTCCAGTTTTATTGGTGTGAATTAATGCGAGTGTTGTTAGTGATGGTTTTACATGTACATAGTTCATAGTGCTTTGAAGTTGGAAAAGTTAAAGTGAAGCTTTTTTACATACCATGTTTATATATACCTTCTTTTTAACACTCATGATGACATGATGGTTTTCAGACCCACAAAAAAAATAAGCTGACCTCTTCTTCTATTTTAGGCCCTGAACCGCTCCGTTGCTACGGTGACAACTTCAACCACAGTTTCTACACTTTCATAGTGGGCTCATTCGTCGGATTCCAGTTCCCCAACCTGACCACCTTCCTGTCACTCATGCCTCGTGACAATATGCATCAGGTGGGTGTCTAGAATTTAAAAAAAAGAGCAGAACTCCAGATAGATTTCGGGACTTGAGCTGAATTCTGCAAGGAGTAGATAAAAAATGATGAACAGGAGGAGATTCATCTTGTGTTTTCTGCTCTTCAAGCTGGTGAACTCCATCCCTGTGATGGATCTCGGGGCTCTCCTCCGTCACCGTGATGTTGTCGACAACAGTGCACAGCTGTGTGTGCTCTACCAAAACTACGAGGAGATACAGATGTTTCTGGAGAAGGTATGCGCCACACACACACAAACGCACATAAATGTCAAAACATTGTGACGAGATAAATACAATAATCTGTGTATTCTCCACAGGAGTCTCTCCCAGAGGTGGTGAGGCTGCCCACTCTGGAGTGCGTCTGGCCCATAGCTCTCAGCAGCTCCAACAGGGCAGATGTTAGGAGGTGGTTTAACAAAAGCCTTGTACGCTACTACCCTTTGCTTCAAAAGGATCTGATCAGCTCCAGCGCCACACAAAATGCCTCCTGCTTGGCCTTCCAACAGTTGTATGTTTTGTTACAATATAAACTTCTTTTGAGATGAATGTTTGTTTGTTTGTTTATGTTGTATTTTGATTGAATCTTATTTTCTTTCAGTGTCATAACTCTCGGTAACCACAACTACACTGCCGCAGACTTTACCAGGCAAGACGTGTTCACTACCATCAGGGGTTACCTCGTCTCAGGTCAGTCTTCAAACCAAGCCTCTGGAAAAGCAAGCCAGGGTGGCATTAATAAAAAACAGCAGAAATGCTCGTGTATAACTCTGTTGTATTACATTTCCCAGCTCTTACTATTTAGAGTTTATTAGTTCTCTTTTCTTCCTGTCACTTTTTTGTGCTCTTTCCTGCTACAACAATGTGATTTCCCCACTGTGGTGAAAAATAAAGTCCAATCTAATCTAATCTGTGGATTTTGGACTGTTAGAAAACAAACAAGGCACTTAAAGACATCAGACTGTGTATAGGAAAACTACCTTTTCTCATTTCATGTGTTTTTTTGACGTCTTATCGACCAAAGATCAACCGAGAAAAGAACTTGTGAATTTTAGTTGAATTTAGTTTAGATTTTTTACTACACAATATAGATATTAGTATTGGAAAATCTGAAAATAAGTAACATTGCTGTCAGTCAAATTCATTTTTAACTTTATTCATTGTGTGTTTTTTCTCTTTTTTTGACAAAAATGAATTACATTGAAAATATGAGTGTGTTGAGGTGTAGAAAGAGTCTGCCACCATAAATGTACTGTATGTTGTTTCTACAGGTCATTATTTACATGATATTAATATTTCATCATTTAATGTCACCTTATTGTTAATATCATCACATCTGTTGATATTAATAAAACAGACATTTTCAAGTTAATCAGGTAAAACTTTTGTACATTTCAACAAATGCTTAATTTCTGCTTTGATTAAACAGTTGGGAGTTAATCAGGAGAACATGAAATGGGTTTTCTGTCCGAATGTCTAAAAGTTTATCTCCTGTCAGCACAGAAAACCTCCACCTGACTATTTGTACTTTCTTGTTGTAGGCACGTTGCCAAGGTGTTACAACAGCAGCGACCCAGAGCTCAACTCCACGGCTTGGTTTGCTGAGTACATCGGCCCCTTCATGCCGTTTCTCACTCTGGAGTATTTTCAGCAACTTGGATCTGAGCAGGTACTGAACTTGAATCTGAGAATCTTAAACTGCAACTCAAGTTTAGTTGACAGATTAATGACGTACAAACTTGCTCGTTTCTCCTCTCTGCAGGATCTCCAAGTGTTCACAGTGAACCCTCTCAACATTGCGCTCCTCAACCACTCGGTCTTACCTCAGAACCTCACCGACTACTACACTCAGCTCGTGTATCAACAGGACGGCAATTTCAACCCCTTACTGTGAGTTTAAGCCTCTATAAACTGTTGTATCCTCCACACCACTACAGACTCGTGCACTTTTTCATTTTCCCGTCTGATTCCACTCTCTCTTTACAGTCTTCCTCTGCTGTGTCGGTGTGTCGCTCCTGGTCCAGCATTCAGCCAGCTGACTGCAAATGAAAGCATGGTGCTTCTTCCCAACCTCACCGACCTCTGTACAGACCTGGACCCACAGGTAATACACACACACACACACACTCAAGAAAACACAGATGGTGGTACATTTTTCTCTTTAGAAGTATTTTTTTCTGAGTACACAGGGAACAATTTTAAAGGAAAAACATGAAAACAACTGGTAGAGAAAGACAGCGGCTGAGGCATCCAATGTGTCGCTGCATGGATTGATGAAAATGATGTTAATATCATCAGCTTTCATCCCAACTAAATGCTTTTTTTTTTAGATTTTGGACCCACATGATGTGATGATTGAACAGTCTAGTTAAAATTAAAGCTTTTAAGTAATTTTCTTATTGTAATTCAACAGCAACAAAAGAGGCTTGAGGTTAGGTCACATCAGTTTCATAAGAATGGCCCACCTTTTTTTTCTGTAGATCTCTGCTGCTTTGGCTGGTAACTTTGGTGACAAAATCGATGCCACGACCATTGCTGCCCTCGGCAACGAAAGCATCGGCATGTCCACAGGACAGATCAAGATGATAAACCCTCAGCAACTGTTTGCTGCCCTTACAACTCTCCGCCAAGTTATGGGCTGGAACGAAGGCCAGGCCAGGGCCATCATCCAGGCTCTGATGTCTTCAGGGATGATGAAGGTAGCTGCTGTCTGTCACAGATTCAATTCAAACCAGTGGCAGTGAAGTCATTGTTGTGGTCATGTCCTCTTATCTATGTGCTGCCTTCAACATTTTCCATCCCACCAGATCAACAGCTCGTCATCGTTGTTCATGCTGGGCTCTCTCATTGTGGGGGTACCCACCAGAGTGTTCAACAGCATCAGTGTCTCCCAGCTGCTCACTGCATCCAGAAACACTTCAATTCTATCACAGCTGGTGTTCGCCCCACAGGTCATCCAGCAGACCTTTGTTACTCAGGTATGACAGCTTCACTTGTGTTACAGGCTGAATGGTTTTATTTATATGATATTATAGAGATTGAAAAAGTCTGAACCAGGAAAATATGAGAAACCTCAACAGGGATGGAGCACAAACCAATAAAAATGTGGGATATTTAGAGCAGCTAGGCAGGAAGGCTGGTGGCTCGGAGGTGAGCAAAGCTAGAGATCCGTAGACTTGTGATTGGCAAGCAGGCAAACTGGTGCACAAGGGAAGATCCGCACATTAAGACTGGCAAAGCTGGCTGGTTAAGAGCGTCTACTGCCAGCAGGGTGACGGAACAATCTGGTAAAGACTGAGAGAAGCCACCATTGATATTCTGCAGGAGCTGATGAACTACAGGAGTTGAGGTGTGACATCCGCTGGTCCAGCAGAACACAAATGAGCACACACTGACAGAGGAAGGGGAGTCTAGCATCTCATTTGACTCTTGGCAAGAAAGTGAAGAAAGACAAATTATGGCTTTACATTTTGATATCTTATCACTTTATGTCCTTGTCAGTTTAAATCAGCGAATCCCTCAACAAACTATGGAGCCAGGGGAATTCAAAGCCAAACATTTATGTGAAGATAGAAAGTTTCCTGAGGAGAGCTAACTTTCACTGCTCCCCATCCTCCTCTCAGATCATATCAGTGAACACCAACAGCGAGGGGATCATACAGAACATTCCAGATGAACTGGCCACTGAGATTCCTCGAGCTCTGCTTGTCGGTTTCTCAAATAGCAGCAGCGTCATCACCACACTCAACAGGAAGAAATGGAAACGGCAGCAGGTAGGGGGATGCACCGGTGAAGCCTTCTTGTTTTTACACACCTGTTGTATGTGATTACACACTTTGTACTTTTTTTCTTTAATTGTTTTTTTAGGCTGAGTTGTTCTTTAGTGTAATTGGTGTGGAAACTGCGACCACACAGCTGGGAAGTCCAAGCAAGTGAGTTTTCACAAAGTTTTCAATAAGTTTGTGAAACAAGAGACCAGCCAGTAAATGTTCTGCAAATGGGTTTGACTATGCACAGAGCTTATAGTGTGTGTCTGTGTGTGTGTGTGTGTGTGTGTGTGCAGTTTGTCGTCCACTGTCCTGCAAGGGTTCACATGCACCGGAGTGAGGACGATTCAAAGGGTGCAGGTCAAGAGGCTGATCAGAGCCTGTCGGAGAAGAGGCAGGAACAGGGTCAGACTGGTGGAGACTCAGGTGAGTGTGTTTGAATTACTCAAGCTGTCATACAGTCACATTGTGTAGACTCACGGTCCTTCTGAAATCCCTGTCACGTACATTGTAAAAGACTGAGGTAAACACAATGTCCTTCACACACACCAAAGCTGCCCTGCAGAGAAAAAAAATACTGCCTACCTCAGCTTATAAAGACTATACACATATGAGTCAGGTTTTGATTACATGTCTCAGTGTTTTCACTGAAATCCTCCTTTTCTAAGATGTATAGATCATGCTGTATATAAACTGTACAGTGGAACAGTAGACTTTAATTCCAGGTTTTTAAGCTCAACATTTTATTTACCGATGTCCTTCTTCAACATCAAAGACAATACACGATATTAATCACAGTTTTTCCTTTTCTCGCCATCAGCTGACCTGCATGTACAACTACATTAGAGTTGACGCAGACGCCACTAACTTCACCCTCTATCCTCCTGACATGCTGCTGTACTACGAGTAAGAATCTGTCGTGTTCGTTTGTGTGGACTTGAGACCAAACGCAGGTTTTCTTACAATGACGTGACCGTGCTGTCGTTTCTATTTCTTCATACAGTTACTCAGTGGTGCCACAGTCCAGCTGCAGGTCCTATTTTGAACAGCTGGCAGATGCAGACTTCAGTGTTTTCTCGTCGACCCTCAGCTACAAGCGAAATGACCTGTTTGATAATGCCAGGAGCTGCCTGGTGAGTCCCGAAACAACAACAACATCTACAAACTAACGACTAGCTGCTAGTTCAGCGTTATGCAAAGTGTGAACATGGTGACGGAGATAAGTAACGGCAGAAAAGCCCTGCACTTCAGCTTGTTTCAGGCAGGAAAGAAGTCGTGTTTTCCTTGGGCAGGGACTTTGGGCTTTGTAGGGCTACAGTCTGATCTTTCATTTTGCATTGGAGCTGAACACAATCATAATCTCCACAGATGTTTATACTGTAAATGTAGATCTCATCCAGTTCAGAATATGCTCTAATCCACAATGTTTTTATTTTTTCCAAAGGGTATAACAAACACAAGCTTGACTGCGGATGATATATCAGTTTTGGGAAACATGTGCTGCTATCTGGATGGATCCTACATCCAAAACTCTGATCCGTCCATCCTGGAGAAACTCAAGAACTGCCCTGAAATTACTGATGCTCAAGCAGCTGCTGTTGAAACCCTGCTGAGTAGCGGGAGAACACAATACGGGTATCAGCATTACACAATCCTCAGTTTTATTGCCTCACCAAAAATCGTAAAAAGCTGTCTATTGTGTATCATTGTCAGCAAAGGTATTTGTTACACACAGCCTTTGGTGTTCTTGTTTTTTTCAGTGCTCCTTCAACGTGGGATGAGCAAACCCTGAGGAACCTTGGGATGTTACCGTTGTATTTGAAGTCAACCTTCTATGACAACTTCGACAAAGTGAGTCCCGCGTGAAAACATACATTGAGCAGAAAGAGTCAGCTCTTTGGTGTTGGAAAGAGGTTTGGGTTTTTCATGTGTTTCTTTGATTCCTGCGAGCAGAGAACAAAGCGCAGGTTCTTGAGGTACTTCCTGAGAGAGCTAAGGAGCAACAAAGTAAGCAGACAGAAGAGGAGGAGCCTGAAGAGAGAAATAAGAAAGTCCATTAGAAAGAAGTCAAAGCGATCTGCAGGTCAGTCTCTCTGGTGTCACTGCTCTGCCTGTTTGTTCCTCAGAAATTCACAGTTTAACAATTTGGTTTTCTGTGTTTTAGACAACGAATGCACTGTTGGATTGATCACCCAGGTGACCATCAGCGATGAAACATTCCCATTCGACTACGACGATATAAACCAGTTCAACTGCTGCCTCACAGCCGAGACGGTCAAAGACAACTTGAATGCCATCACTGAAAAGGTGGATGAGGAGGAATACCTCGAGATTGTTCTCAGCAAGTTGCGAGAGGTAAGTGACAGAAGCCTTTGAGGATGTGACTGGTGTGTCTGAGCTTTTTTGAACTTAGCAGTGAAGGATGAAGCATGTTGAAAGTGGAGCAGGTGGCACAGGAGTAAAAGAAACACGGTGCAAATATGAAGCATGTGTCACTGTAAAGTCGACTGTGAGGTTCAGCTGAATGTTGTTTAGAATTATTGGTATTTTGATCAGACACTTTTTGATGTATCAGGTTTAATTGTTAGAGGATAATGTCTTGATTTCTCTCCGGGTTCTTCCTCCAAAA